CCAAAAGCGAAAAATATCTCCATCGAGAAAAGATTCGGTATGTTACAAGAGACTCCCTCAACTTCTACCCTCTCTTTGTTTTTATCATTTTTCTTGCGATAGTTAGAAAGTTTCTTTAGTTGTTTCGCTTTGATAAATTTGCTTTTTTATTTACGGGCAAAAAAAAAATATTTATTAAACACAAGGATAGAGGTATATTTTGTTAGTCAGTTAGCGCTTGTACCAACAAACTAACCGACGGTTAACGGTTATACTTTAATTTATTATAAGTTAGTGGTGCAGTTAACTATTAACCGAAAAACTAATTGAATATAAATATATATTGTTTCTCACCCAAATTGATCATCTCCCTCCCAGAAAGACTCGCACACTTCGAACAAACAATAGCTTCTCTGCCCGACCCTTTTCTTTTTGCTCTAATTTCCTGCCAGTGTGAACCCTAAAATTGAAAGATGCAAAAAGTATCATAGATTTTGTGATTAAAATGTAGGCATCAAGATGGATTGGGAAGATTAGATGACTTATGATAGAGGAAATATAGCAAAGACTGCGCCCCATTTTTTCATCAATGATTTATCTCACCCACATCACACCCAAATCAATGATAAAAATAAAAAAAATATAAACATACGTACGTCAAAAAAATCTCAAAATGCACAATTGAAAAAATAGAAGTCTTCTGTTGGTTTGTTATTGATAAGTTATTTTGGTCTAACATTGTCGAATAATATGCTAAAAGGTTAATTGATTAATCGTCATAGTAACTGATAATTGACTATATGATTATGATTAAACGACGAATATAAATGGTATGATTAATGATAAACTAAAATGCTTAAATAGTTCCTTCAAAAAAATGCTTAAACCGAATAAATGATTATGATTATTACCGAACCTACTATCAACCCTATCCACTTATATGTAAAAAGACTTTACATACTGCAATCCGACTTCATAGCTTCATTTCCAAATTGATCCACCTCTAGTTTGTTCTGAATCCTCATCACAACTCCTTCATACTCCAGTTGTGACCCGCATGAAGTCTGTTGTATTGCATCTTTCCCTCCATGGTGTACTAACTATCAGATTCCATGACAATCTTCCAACTTTAGCACATGTTTTTTTAATAATAATGATGAATTTTATTAAAAAGAAAAGGTTCAAGGTAAACAATCTCCGACAAGGAGTGGGAGAAGAACAAGATTGGAAATAGTAAAAAAGTACAAGAGCAGAGAAGTACAGCAAGGAAGGGAGAGAAAATGAAGGAAAAACGAACAGGGAAGGATCACAATCACATCCATATCAGAATTGTTGCGGCAAAAGCTTCCCTCGGTCCAAACTTAACATCCCATGGGCAATTGTCCACTCGGCAATTGCTCTCCTGATTTTCTTTATGATCACCGAACTTAACATCCCATGGGCAATTGTCCACTCGGCAATTGCTCTCCTGATTTTCTTTATGATCACCGACTGAGGGCATGAGATTTGCTTGAAGATCTTTTAATTTCCTCTCTTTCCAGATGAACCAGCAGCAAGCATGAATGATACAATGGAAGAACCATCCCTCCACTCCATCTGGATCCCTCGTGTTGCTCTGGTTAATGACGTCAGTGATGTCCGGGGAAGAGAAAACAATTTTTGAAATGCCCTCCAGCAGCCCCCCTGCACACTCTTGGCGTACGAACAACTAATGAAAATGTGATTAATTGATTCCTATTCCTTGTAGCAGAGCTCACAGCGGTTAGCCAATTTGAAACCCCTCTTCTTAAGGTTGTCGATGGTGAGAATCTTCTTGTGCCAAACCATCCATAGGAAACCACAAATCTTTGTGGGAATAATGTTCTTCCAAACCGCTCTATACGAAAAGCCATCCGTCCCTTTAAAGCGATCCTCAACCTGCATTTTATACATAAAGCTCACAGAGAAAGTTTTGTCAGAGCAAGGACTTCATTCCATACGACATGGTCCAATCGAAAGACGATGAGAATTCTCACAAAAAATTTCCAAAAGAGTATTTCTCTCCCTAGCAACCCCACCCCGATGATTTATCAAAAAAGGAATTTCCCACACTTTATTCTCACCTGACCAAGACACAAAGTCTGAGATACCTGCGTCGGGCATAGCAGCAGCAGCACGCGAAAAAGAAACAGCCAGCAGCTCCCCTGGGATCCAAGAATCGTGCCACAAGGAGATACTGATACCCGCTCCTGGATCTAGACTGGCCCCTTTCCAAAAGATGTCACTTACCCTTACTGAGCTCATGAGATCTCGCATATGCCGGTGCGGCTGCCAACACACCATGCCTCTTCTCGATTACTCGTCCGCTAACCCTTCCTCAACCTGGTGAGTGAGAAGGAGTCATTCTTGTCGTTACTACAACCTAAGGTCATTGCCGTAAGCATTCTCCTAATATTAAACGTTATTAGAATTTTCCCTCTTACGTGAAAACCGTTCTCGCTTTCACCCTTTATAATTCATTCTCTATTTAACTTATAGGAGTTCTCTACTCCTATCCTTAACTCATACACATATAGCTGTCTGGTGTCCCTACTTCAAAAGCAATGGTATTGCGTTACATCTCGTCGTCCAGCACCAAGCCCGATCAACTAAAGCTTTACGTCTCGCCGTCCAGCAGTGACCCGATCATTTACTACGTCCAGTACTGATCCAACCGCCCAGGAGTTCCATTTACTTTAATACCAACGTCCATACATTAATACATATATAAGCACAACGCGTGACTCCATTTCTCACAAAAATATGTTCTTTCAATGAATATAAAATAGATTTACGCGAATAATTAGTAAACTTACATGAAAAACATAGATTTAATGTTTAAATGGTGAGACAATCTACTTTATCCCACAAGGAGACAAGATACATTCTATTATTGCTTGCGTCGGTATCATCTTAGTGGAATCATGTTGACTATGTGTACATAATTAAGAATACAAGTTGGACGAACAAGTCAGATACCAACATGCATGAACATATATTATGCTCCAATATACATATTTGACGTCAATTGGTCACAAATACTTATCACCAGAATCACAATTTGCTACTGGTTGCTGACAATTACAGAACCCTCTCTGCAAAATGAATCAAATTCGCTTCCTAATGGGCACGAGATGGAATGGGACATACCACAAGATATATCACATTCCCTATGGCTGGGAGGTCGAGTTCCCACTGAGTTTATACCCCCACGCCAAAAAAATTTAGTCCAGAGCACCCAATGAAAACATTTTACCAAGTGTTTTTTTTTTAAAAAAAGGGTGACCTGCTAAGCAACATTTCAGCCTGTTGGCCCGACCGCTTTAGCCTGATATATCGTATCGTGAATATATATAAAAAAATTGTTTATACATTTATAAATTATATCAAATATCATCTAAATATAAGTAATAACATATAATATTACACCAAAATAACAAATTATACTTGGATCCATCATATAGTGAAAATTTACACTCACTTATATAACACCAATATTCAAATTTCAATTTAGAGTTCAAAACATAGGGTTAGGCGAAGAGGAAACTAGAAAAGAGGGGCATTTCGCAAACCAAAGGGGGAAATGACGCCATGTGACCTTCAATTCGTTAACCTTGTAGCGGGTCGACCAGTGAGTGTGTGTGGCACGTCTTCTGGCCTGGTCAGGATCAAAACGGGTCAACCGACGAGTCGACCCGCGAAAACCTTGTTGTTGACAATCGAAGGGAAATTGGATTATTTTCATTCGTAATCACAGTTGTCCAACCACAGGTATATCGATCGGTTCAATCAAATCCAACTAGTATTGTATATAAGCCAGTTGGAAGACCACCAGTGTAGAGCGAGATAGTAAAAAACAATGTAGTCAAAATCGCGTTTTAAAACTTAAAAACTTACGGTTTTACGCTTTTAGGACACCAAAACGCTTTCGTTTCCATATAAAATCTTAAGTGCATAAAATCAGGACTAAAATGCGCTTTAAAGCTTAAAAGCTTATCCTTTTACGCTTCTGGTTCACTAAAACGCTTTACGCTTTTACGCTTCTAGTTCACTAAAAGAATATTCTATTCATGAAAATACTTATATTTTAAAGGTAAATCACAAAAAATATGATATATTTGAGATTAAAAGATATATATCAAGTACTTGGGTGCATTCTTAGTTTCAATAGAGTAATCTAATTCACTAGCTATGCCCTTCCCAAATTCAGTAGCATATAGGGGAATGTAGCTTATTGTTAAGATATATGTTTATGAACTTATTGTTAAAATGTTATAAGTTTCTCAACTTTAGATATGAATTACAAGTATTTATTAACTTATCTAAACTATGTCCACTCATATTTTATCGTACTTAACACATTTTTCGTTATATTAAAGTATGCGTCAAAAACTTACGTTTTTACGCTCTGATTCTACGCTTTACTATTTTACCCATTTTCCGCTTCTAGGTAGAATCGCGCTTTTGACTGCATTGGTAAAAAATGGTGAAAGAAAACAACAAAATCGAAAAAATTAGTGGTCAAATCAAAATGGTCAATTTTGGGTCCCTAAATAAATTACATTGTTTAGGTGGAATTAATTAACGAAAAAAATATTGGATTCAAATATGGACTTTTAGAGGTGATGTTATTCATATGATTTAAGTATAAACTATAATGTTTGGATGTTGATGTTAAATCCTTCATTTAAATGTGATAATTTATTTTTGTTTCATTGTTCGTAATGTGGTATTTTGTTTAAACGTGGATGTATATTTCATTTGCTATTAATAATTTCTCACTCCTAATATGTTTTGTTAAAACATATGTAAATCCAATCCAACAAGTTCATACTTAATTTATCAAACCAACAAAAAAATAGTTGCAGAATGCTCTGTCCTCTCTCCTACGGAAAAGCGTAGGAACGGCAGGCTTCCTCCTCCTCTCCATTTGGCTTTCGAAGGATGAAACCATGTAGATCCCATCAACGTGGGCGCGTTGGGTGAGACAAACTTGGGAAGAGATGGTTTTGCAGGTGGTGTCTGCGTTCAGGCACACCAAGGGCCCTATGATGCGCACAGCGGCGAAGAAACGTTGGCTGGAAGACGCACGGGGTGGGGAGATGGTAACAATGGAGACATGGTTCGGGCAGTCTGCAAAACCTCACAAGGGGGATGGGGACCCGAAATGGGGCCCTGGGAGTGCGAATGTGATGTCAATGGTAAGGTTTGGCCTTGGATGGCGGCGAGCAACTGTGCAACCAGATGGGGTATGGAGCCGGAGCGTCGATCGGAATACAAAGCCGACGACGGGAGATGATGATTGTGGACTCGAGCTGACGTGGAGTAGTTGGCGGCGAATCCGAATTACCCGTATTGAGGGGGATTTAAAAAATATTAACAATATTATTTTTGAAATCCGGAAGAGGATTTACTTGAACAGTGATTGGTTAGGTGGTTGGGATGGAGATAATACCCGAGCCCCTAGACTTTCTGTTACAAAACTAAACCCGTGGATTATCCTAAAGGATCCGATCGGGTTCCTTTCTTGGGATAAAACTCTCGGAGGGGTTTTAAATTTGGCCGAATTCTACAACAACCTTTGCCTACAAAAAAATACATGGGTTGGCTGGTAGACTGTTTACAAAGAATAAGACTATACCGAGGGCTTATTTCATCGGGCCTTCTTAGTATTTGTCTTTCGCCACCGAATAACCACGTCGAGCAGCTGAAGCAAGAAGCAATGGCAGAGCCCAATATTTGCCAAGACCAGATCGTGGAGTTCTCCACTGAAGATGTTGCTGTGAGTATGCCGAGGGCAAAAATGAGCCTCCTGGGGAGACTCTTCATCGAGAACCGGCCAAGCTTGTCAGTCATGCATAAGATTGTCACGAATGCTTGGGAATGCCGTAAGAAGGTTCAGGTGATGGAGGCGGAGATGGGTCTTCTGCAATTCTTGTTTGACGATACGGAAGACATGGAATGGGTGCTAAAGCGCACGCCGTGGCCTGTCAAGGACCGGGTCTTACAACTCCAACGCTGGGCACCTGTTACGGAGGAGGTGTTTGATTCCCTCGGATACGCGCCCTTCTGGTTTCAGATGTGGGGTATCCCCTCCCACTGCCGTACGATTGCGTTTGGAAGAAGGGTGGCGGAGACGAAATTGGGTGAGGTTCTTGATGTCGGCCTGTTTAGAATTAAAGGTGAACCCGACCAGTTCGTCAAAGCCCGTGTGAAAATCAACGTTCTCGAACCGCTGCGGTCTCAAATTTGGGCAAGCAATGATGTTGCCCAAAAATTCTGGGTGACTTTTGCCTATGAATTCCTTCCCCTGTTCTGCTTTCATTGTGGACGATTGGGGCATATGGAACGGAGCTGCGTGTTCCCGGCTTCAAGTGGTGAAGAACGATTTAGTCAGGAGATGGCGACTACGGAGGTGGGCTATCGCCTGAATGAAGAGACCCTCAAAGCTGCCCAATACAATCCTCCTCCGCTGCCGCAATCTGGGTGGGTCAATCCCAAAACAAAAGGGCAGATGGCGGTGAGTTCAGCGGCTGATCGGGGCGAAAAAAGGAAGCCTGAAGCGAAGGGTGCCGGGCGGGAAGTGGTGCTGGCGTTGCCGGCAGATGGTGACCAAGTTGCAAAAGGGGCGCAAGGAATGGGGAGTCGTGACGTCAATAGGCAGGGGGGAACAACTGGTAATCAAAAGGGTGGTCGGGGTTCTCAGGTGGAGGAGATGGGGTCCCGGACGAAGCAAGTGCGGCAGACCACCTGGCCGAGTGCTGGTGTCCGCGGAAAGCAAGTGACAGCGGGTGGGGGCAGTCTGAGATGGGGCTGAAGGTGCGCGGGGACGGAGGGAAGGGAGGCGGTAAAGGAAACTCAAAAAGGGAGGAGGGATTGGTTGCAGGGCGTAGTTCGGAGCGAGAGCAGGAGCAGGGCTCGGGTGAGAGGGGGAAACCGTTGATGGAAGGGCGGCCGGAGGTGGGGCTGAAAGTGGCTGCAAGCCAAGGCGCAAAGAAGAGTACGACCTCGCCAAAAATGGAGGGTGATGATGCTAGGGTAGTTGATGTGCAGGCCACGGAGGAGGGAACTAAAAACCTAATTTGTGATCAGGTTGCGGTGGAGCCCGGAAAGATGGACAAAGGGGAGAATTCAGAGATGCTGGATGCGGCCACAATAGTGACAGATGAGTATGGGTCTAACTTGTCCAAACTGTCGGCGGTTTTCCGGATGGCAATTGCGGAAGAGGAGCTGGAAGATCGAAAGAGATCGGTGGAGATGGTGGAGGATCTTGCGCAGGATCCTACACCGACGAAGAAATTGTGCGCTGGTGAACCAAACAAGGAGTCTAAAGAAACTGTGGAGGTAGCCAGCCCGAAATGGCCCCAATTGATTAAATGAGGCTTTTATCGTGGAACGTGCGTGGAATTGGGCCATCCCTCACGTTCCAATCCCTGTTAGGTTTAGTTAGAGTCAATAATCTGGATTTGGTGTTCTTGTCGGAAACCAGATCTTGTAGAAAAGTTGTTAAACGCCGTATGCGTGGGTTAGGGTTTGATTTAGAGTCTTGCTTTCTTGTTGACGCCGTTGATATGTCTGGCGGCCTAGCGGTATGGTGGTCCCCGAGCCTTTGTGCTACGGTTCTTTGTAGTTCTTCTTTTTTTATTTCAGTTCAGATTAATAATATGGAAGTTCCGTATGTGGTGGTGTGTGTTTATATTAGTTGTGTTCATTCGGTGCGTCGAGGGCAATTGGAGGCCCTGCGAGCTTACTGTCAGGGGATTTCGGAACCCTTTGTCATCATGGGGGACTTTAATTCGATTCTTTCTTCGACTGAGAAGGATGGAGGCGTTCCGTGGGCTCCTGCCCAGTCCCAAGATTTTCGTGATTTTGTGGACTCGCTGGCCCTGCACGACCTGGGTTTCCAGGGCCCTAGTTTCACGTGGACGAATAAGCGGATGGGAGCCGCGTGTGTTCAGAAACGTCTGGATTGTGCGCTAGGATCTGCTGCCTGGGCGGAATCTTTTCCGGACACGATAGTCCTCCACTGTACGGATATTGGGTCCGATCATCGGGCGCTCATTCTAGCTAACAAACCTTTTAAAAGAACGGCCCGTCGTTTGTTCCTGTTCGATGCCCGTTGGGTGGAAAATCCGGAGGTACGTTTTATGATCAAATATTCTTGGGCGCAGGAGGAGACGGGGTCGCCTATGTTTAAACTGTGGACGAAACTAAAAAAGGTCTGTCACATGCTTTATGATTGGGCTCGGGCTGGGACGTCTAATTCGGTAAGAAATGTTCGCTCCCTTCAGGAGGAGATTGAGGCAATTAGGCGAGTTAATCCGGTGGACTGGGATACGATTAGGGAGTTGGAGGTGGAACTGGGGAGACAATGGGTAGCGGAGGAGGTATTCTGGAAGCAAAAATCCAGGGTACGCTGGTTGAAGGAGGGGGATAGAAACTCATCGTACTTCCATACGGTGACGCGAACTCGCCGGAAGAGGAACTTTATCGCTAAACTCCGAAATGAGGAGGGGGGGGTGGGTTGAAGAAGAATCGGATAAGGCCAAAATGGGGGTGGAATTTTTTGACAATTTGTTTACGTCAGAACATCAGGTTGAGGACTTGGATGCTAGGGTGGCGGCTTTGCCTATTGAGAGGCTGGTAACGATGGAAATGAATCAGGCTCTGGTTGCTGCTGTTACGCCAGAGGAGATCCGTCGTTCGGTTTTCTCAATAGGGCCTACGCAAGCACTAGGGTCTGATGGGTTCACGGCAAAGTTTTTCCGTTCGTACTGGGATATAGTGGGACCATTGGTCGTGGAGACGGTGGGGTATTTCTTTGTGAATGGCAAGCTCCTTCGTAGCTTTAACCACACATGGGTTACGCTAATTCCAAAGGTGGAGGAAGTTGAGACGATGCGCCAATTGCGGCCAATCAGTTTATGTCAGGTCATTTACAAGATTATTTCGAAGATCTTAGCGAATAGACTGGCGCTGGTATTCCCAACGGTGGTTTCCCCTGAGCAAAATGCTTTCATCAAGGAGAGACAGATTGTTGATTATGTTCTGATTGGTCATGAAATCATGCATTATCTTAAGATTAAGACGAAAGGGAAGAAGGGGTACATGGCCTTGAAGGTTGATATGGAAAAGGCCTATGACAGGGTTGAATGGCCTTTCTTACTTTCGCTCTTGAAGAGAATGGAGTTTGGTGAGCAGTGGGTGCAGTGGATCCATGAGTGTATTTCGTCGTCTTCCTTTTCCGTCATGATGAATGGTATGCCGGCAGGGTACTTTTGGCCCACCAGGGGTCTCAGGCAGGGGGATCCTTTGTCCCCCCCCCCCCCCCCTTCTGTTTGTTATGTGCACGGAAGGTTTGACGGCGTTGATAAAAAAAGCGGTGGTAGAAAGGAGGTTAGTTGGGGTTCGGGTTAGCCCTCAAGCGCGCAGGGTGTCCAACTTATTCTTTGTGGATGACTCATATATGTTTGTGCAAGCGTCGATGCAGCAGTGTGAGAACCTGCTTCAAGTCTTGGGGGAGTATGAGGAATTGAGTGGGCAACGGGTTAATTTGGCAAAGTCCGCGGTTTGCTTTAGTTGTAATGTGCTGGAGGAGGACTGTGTGGCTATGGCAGCTCGGTTGGGAGTTGGGGCAGTGGGAGTCCAGGATAAGTATTTGGGGCTGCCCACCTTAATTGCTCGATCGAAATCAGAAACATTCCGACGTCTGGAGGAAAAGCTGTTGCAAAAGTTAAAGAGTTGTAAGCAGCGGCACTTATCCTGGGCGGCGAAGGAGACACTGTTAAAATCGGTGGCGGCAGCATTGCCAGTCTATGTCATGGCCTGTTTTAAGCTTCCCGTTATGTTGTGCAGGCGCCTTGATAGATATATGGCACGCTTTTGGTGGGGTGGGTCGATTGATAGGGTTCACTGGATGTCGTGGCGAAAATTGTGCCGTAGTAAGAAAGAAGGGGGACTGGGCTTTCGTCGATTTGAGCAATTTAATCAAGCTCTCCTTGAGAAAGTAGGGTGGCGGATTATTCAGGAACCTGACTCTTTGCTTGCTCGGATTTATAAGGGAAAGTATTTCCCGAATGGAACCCTTTTAACGGCTACCGCACGGTCTAGGCCGTCTTGGGGGTGGCAGAGCGTCTTGCATGGGGTTCAGCTGTTAAAGACGGGGCTGCGATGGCAGGTGGGTACGGGGGAGGAGATGGAGATTGCAACAACGAATTGGGTTCCGGGGTGTCACCCAAATCCTCCAGTGGTGCTACCGTCTGCTCATCTTTGGGAGGGTGCAACATTAGCCGGGTTGATGGGAGAGGAGGCTGGGACGTGGTGTGATGAGTGTTTGGCTAACTGTTTTGCTCCGGAGGTGGGCCGGGCAATCAAATCGATCGTTCTCCCAAGATTACCTATTCGGGATAAGCTGGTCTGGCATGAGGACCGAACGGGGAAGTATACGGTTAAGTCGGGATACTGATTAGCGATGCAGTTGAACAAGAGCCAGTGGAGGGGCAAGTGTGAGGTATCCTGGATGGATTCGGGTCTGTGGGGGAAGTTGTGGAATCTTAGGATTCTGCCGAAGCTCAAGTTCTTTATGTGGCAAGCCATGAGTAGGATATTGCCGACTATGGAGGCCTTTATTGCTCGAGAAATTGAGGTGTTGGAGCGGTGTCCGATTTGTTGGCATGAGGGGGGAAATTTGGAGCATTTGTTTCTCCATTGTCCAGTGGCTAAGGATTTGTGGGCCGATTCGGGGCTAGAGGATGTCCGGGCTGGGTTACCGGAGGTGAATGTTGGGTTGTTTGTTCGCCGGCTAATGGAGGCGGTGTCTGATGAGGGGATCCTTATGCGGTTCATTTCCCTGCTCCGGCGGGTGTGGAAGTCTCGCAATTGGGTGGTGTTCGAGGGATGCCAGTACCAAAGGGTGGTCCTAAGTAACCAGTGGCGTACTCAGGTGGAAGAATGGCAGCAGGAAAGCAGTGTGGAGGAGGGGCGTTGTCAAGGTCGACGACAGGGGGCGGCACTAGGACCGATTCGGTGGCCTCAGGGTGTGTCTTGGGTGTGCTCCTTTGATGGAGTAGTGCGTGAGGCGTCACATTCTGCGGTGGGGATTGTCCTGCAGGGGCCCGATGGGGTGGTGGTTAGGGCGATGGGAAAGGGGTTGGCTGGTCTAACAGACCCAATGCTAGTGGAGTTGATGGCCCTACGGGAGGCGATCTTGTTGTGTCGGGCGATGGGGGTCCACAGTGTCTGTTACCAGGGGGTGCTAAGGTCGTCATTGACAAAGTGGTGGCGGGATATGCTTGGGATTGCTGTGGGGGAGCAGTGCTGCAGGAGATTCAGGAGATGTTGGCTAGTTGTACGGGGGATGTGCTTCGGTTTGTAGGCAGGGATAACAATAGGGTAGCCCATAGGGTGGCTAGGAAGGCCCTTTCTTTGTATCCCGCTCTTATCGAGGGGTTTGATTTTTGCGTTTGGATCAAATCGGAGATGTAATCGTTTGCGATCTTTTCTTCTTGGTAATACAAGCTATCTTTTGTTTAAAAAAATGTTAAAACATATGTAAACCATCATTTATGCTTCGGTGGGACCACATCACTTACAAACACTAGAGCAAATGTTTAATCCTGTTGACCACCTTGTTCAAAGTAGGATGACGGGCTGTGGGGCGAATTGGAGTTGTTAGCGGCATAGACGATTGAGCTATAAATTGTAAAGCTGCAAGGGGTTCGTGGTGCAGCAAAACTCTATGCAAGAGAATAACAATAGACTTAGATAGAGCGCGTGAACTAGCAAAGAGAAGACGAAATTACTAGTCATGCCCCAGAGAAATAAAAAAGCAAAGATAAAATTTATCATTTTAGCAGTAACATGAAAAAGAGAGGAACAAATGGTGAAAACAAAGGGGGTTGATAGAGTACAAAATCTATTCTATAAACTTTGATTTGTAGTCTTCCATCAAAATTCAAAACGGAAAAATGAAAAAAAAAAATAAAGGGAATGGATAGGGTACAAAATCTACTCTACAAACTTTGATGTGTAGTCTTTCATCAAAAGTCAAAATGTCAGGGAATGGATAGGGTACAAATCTATTCTACAAACTTTGATATGTAGTCTTCTATCAAAAGTCAAAATGCAGTCGAACAATCCATAATTCATATAACGAAAAGGAGGAGTTGACTGATAATTCAACTACCCCTCTATCTTTCTTTTGCTTCCTCTTGACTGGCACAAAATTCAAAGTTGAAGAGAATTTTCTTGAACAGTCAAAATTTATTTTTTATAATTTTTATTTTTTAATCTAATCATATCTTTTTTGTTTAAACTTGGAATTTTTAAAAATATTTGCATAGAAATAATGCATTAATTATGATATACACAATGTTATCCATTTTTTATATTTTGATAACAAAAAATTTAGCCATTTAAAACATGTGTTGCCTATAATAGTATCATTATCATATTACAGTGACCATATCATGATATGAAAGAATATAATTTAAATATTTTTCATTTTAACTCTAATTTTTTAAAAACAATTGCATAGGAAGTACACTAAATTATTATATACACAATGACACACAGATTGTTTTTTTTTCCCCCAATAATTTACACACATTTTGTTGTATTTTAAGTGACCAAAAAATTTATCCCTTCAAAATATGTGTTCGGTAATCTTATCATTTTCATATCATGATCTTACCTAGGGGTGGATCACGGTCGGTTTCGGTCTAACCAAATTAAAATCTCTGTTATCGGTTAACCGAAACACGCCCAAATGTCCACATACAGTCGACCGAAGAAGACCTTCGGTTAACCGACCAATCGATCCAGCAATTTTTTGGTTTTTGGTTCGGTTAGTCGTGAAACCAAATAACTAGGGTGTTGTCGGTTTAAACCGGGTTACCAGCTAGTACCCGACCCGGCAGCAGCCCCACCTACATACAAAATCAGTAAAATCACCTAATTAAAGTAAAGTCTCAATCTCTTTTGTATCAAAATTACATCTAAATCACAAAATTAAAGTATCAAATAGTCAAATTCAACAACATTTAACTCCACAATTCACAGTACCATTACCAAGTAGCAAGTAAATGTCTAAATAGACTAAATTAGCAACATAAACTCCATAAAGTTATCACTCATCAACACCAGGAGAAGAACCAACATTTACAAAAACATTTTCTTTCAATTGGTTCAACAAGTCATGACCATAATCGTCATGAAAATCTTCCTCATACTCTTCCTCAAACACTTCTGCTTCATCCTTCTGATCCTCCTCAATTGCATGAGCATCTACATTGGCAACATTGCATGTGTCACTCGCACTTTCCATTCTAGACTGGAAAGTGGCATTAACTAAGTATAGAAAAAGAAAACAAAGTGTTAGGATTCATCCATTGAGTTAGGTGGAAAGGAATAGTGAGAAATTAAACAACAAAGAAATAAGAGAGTTTCAGTTCTCACCACTTTCGAAATCCAACTTCTTTTCATCATCTTCCTTGTCATCAATCTCTCTGGATCCGATAGTTGGATACTTTATCCAATCTTCAGCACAAATCAATGCCTCCACCATAGTATCGCTCAAAGAGGACATGAATGGACGTGAGAATTTGGCATCCATAGTTGAATGTTGCCTCTGAGGAAACAGAAGAGATGGGAACAGCTAGGATATTCTTAGCCATCTCCGCAAGAATCAGATATATTCCAGAGTGCCGAGATCACCAACCCAAAATGCCAAACTTAGCATCATCACTCTCCTCATTAATGCCAGTACTACTACATTTGAAATAAATGTCAAGCTCAGCAGAACTACCTCCTGTCTCCTGCAGAATTGCTTCCCTTTTCCTCTTCCTGAGCCTCTCCTCAAGCTTCTTAATCCTATCACCTTCACCTTCATCATAACTATCACCAACAATGCTCACATAAGTGGTAGAGCTCATATGCAGACGAGGGTGGTGTTGGTGATTCATATTTTCCTTTGTAAACCTTGAACATCTGGCGCATCTCCGAAGAAATAGAATTCACAATTTCTTCTGCCTTTGATTTCTCATAAATCATTTCCAAAACCTCAGACACCATATCAAGTTTACTTCTAGGATCAAGCACATATACTATGTAAATTAAGTGATTCATCTTCATGTTCTCCTCACCGAAAACAAAACTCTCAAACCAATACTTCTTTACCTTTTCCTCAACCTTTTTTGACATCCTTTGGATCTCTTCATTCGAATATTTCTTAAATTCCTCAATGATGTCATATACTTGAACAAGTTTCTTGAAGAAGAGATGGGTAGTCACATATTTAGTTCTTGTACAATAAGAAGAAAACACATAAAATTAGAGTAAAAAAAATAAAATGATCAAATGGATAAAATAAAACAATGCAATTCAAATTCCACATACCCGACACTAGGTTGGTCAAGTCATTGGAGAGTTTCAGATACTTCATCAATCTCCTAATCAGTTGTCAATCTTGTTCATTTGGAAGACCACCTCTTGAGTCAACATAATCTCTAAAGGATCCGCCTATATGATGTTAGAGTCAGCAAAAAGGTTTGATGGAGTGTTTGCAACTTTGTATTCAAGTCCACAAGATCATTCCTTTAGAGCAGGACCGACCCACGATATTCGGAGGCCCTATTCGAAAATTTAAAGTGTGGCCCTAAAATTTTTTCTCGAAAATTTGAAATGTTGCCCTAAAATTTAATATAAGACTTCAACAACTTCAATTTCAAAAGGCTTCTTCATGATGTAGCAACAGTCACAGGAATAGTTAATAAGATTACATAAAAATATGTTTGCATTAGAAAAACAATCAAAAAGTTTTAAAAAAATTAACATTTCAAAAAAACAACTATTTATTATTGATTTAGTTATTTTTTGTCTTTATACTATTGGTGGCTTGTACATAACTATTTTGGTTAACATTTAATAAATCAATGTGAATTATTTAATTAATTTAGCATTACTGCCTTGGTAGTGCAAGCAGATTAATTGCAGAAATTGAATTCTTTTCCCCCTTGTAAAGCTGAAAATAAAGAAAGTTAAAGCAACAAATTTAATAATGATAATAATGAGGCATCATCAATTACCTCTTTTGTGCTATTTAGGAAACACACGACAAAGAATAAGTTATGTTATATGATTTGAAATTTCTTAACAAGAAAACAAGTATTCGCCTCATGTGATTCGTTCGTTCCTTTAACCTTTGGACTTAAATGTTTTATTATTGTTTTAGACCCATAATCAAAACCCAATTTATAGATTTTATATTGTTTTAAATTTATAATCGAAATCTAATAATTCGTGATAGTAATTAGTCATACATATAATGGAGGTCTGTAGGCCCCAAAATTTGGAGGCCTTGTGCGGGAGGGCCGACTGGCACACCCTCAAGGCCGAGCCTACCTAGTTAGTACATCCAAAGACACCAATTTTGTCGAATTCACCTTCAGAAATTGCATGACAGTTTTGAACCTTGTCAACCTAGCTGGTGATGACTTCACCCATTTCACACAATCCCGAACTCTATCCACATCACCTCTAATCATTTTCAGTATATCTACCGCCACCATATTAATGATGTGTGCCACACATCAAAACTGCAGCTACTTCCCATTCATCAAATCACACCCCCACTCCTTTAGCTTCGTTCTCATGCAGTCACTGAGAATATCATTTGAAGTTGCATTGTCCATGGTCATGCAGAAGAGATTCTTCGCTTTTCATTCTTCGAGAACTTCTGCAAGCTTCTCTGCAATATCCTTTCCAATATGACTTGTGATGGGAACAAATGATAGAACCTTCTTCTGCAACTTCCAATCACTTCCAATAAAATGAGCAGTCACACATATGCAATTTTTGTTTTTATCAGAAGTCCATGTATTCATGGTGATCAAAACTCTGCCTTTTCTCTTTGATTCAAAAAACT